TGAAAAGGCTGGAAATCTTGGAAATGCAAATGCTTTGTTTAATCTCGGAAATCTTTATCTAAACGGAATTGGAGTGAGCAAGAGTGTATCAAAAGCTATTGATTATTTTGAGAAATCTGCCGGTTATGGAAATTCGACTGCTTATTACAATCTGGCGGTTATTTATCAGAAAGGTAATGGTGTCAAGCAAGACATAAAGAAAGCTGTCTTCTACTTTGAAAAAGCTGCTGATTCGGGGAATTTGTTTGCATTGAAAAACTTGGCTTTCATGTATTCAAAAGGACAGAGCGTCGCTAAAGATGTGAACAAAGCTAGAGAATATTTTCAACGAGCAGCAAGTCTCGGTGATCTAGTTGCAAAAGAAGAACTTAAAAAATTGCAAAAATAATAATTGAATGAATGACTTCACCATTTCGTTATTCACTGATTTTTCTAATATAAATTTATAACAATTGATTAATTAATTAACTAAATTGAAGAGTTCAAAAGCAGAATAACTGCGATGAGATCAAAAAGGACTTAATGTTTAGTTTATTGGATTATAACTGTAATTTTGAGTTCTTTATCAAGTTTAGAACAGGGTCAACATTTGATGAAAGTTCGAATCTGCTTTTCCTAATGTATCTCAAGATAGTTTTGAGGGATGGGCGATCTGATAGATTGGGTGACAAGAATTTCGTGATTAAATTCGATACAGAACGATGAAAACTGAACTTTGATTGGTTTCCCATTTGTTGTTTCAAACAACTTTGCTTATGGATGGATTCATAAATCATTAAATACAAAATGACATTAAAAGAGTGAGCATCAGTCTTATTATCATAGTCTTCTTCTTTTAAAATCAGGAGTATATAAAAGATGATATAAAAAAATGGAAAATGAACAGATCAATAAACAATACTATAATAGAAGAAAAAAACAAAGTGGTGAAAATTCAGATAAACATCTCAATTTTTATTAAATTCAATGATATTTATTATTTTTGATTTGAATCATTTGTTTCAAAATGGAGTTGAAAAAAAAAAAAAAAAAAAATCAAAAAAATGCGAAGCCCAGGATTCGAACCCAGTCTTTGGACGCGGCAGGACCACTTTGCTACCATTACAACAGCTTCGCTCTATATTTTATTTAGAATAGAGAACTTTTTCATGCATATACATGATTCTCATATACATTAAAATTTACTTTGAAATAATAATATTTCAATAAAAAGTTAAAAAAAAAAAAAAAAAAAAAAAAACATTTTTATATAATACATATATATAAACAGTATAGTCAAATAAAATAAATAATTTTTTGTTTTCTCAAACAGAGATATTATTTTTCACCATTCTCTTCAATTCACTATCAACGACTTTTAATCTCAAAAAGTTTTTATGCACTTTTTTTGTCTTTTTGAACAGCTATCAATTCAGGAATCAAAGATCTATTATTAAGAGAATAAAATTTATGAGCTTGGTCTTTCATGTGATAAAAAACAGTCTCTGATTCCTCAGTCAATCTGAATCTAGCTTTTTTATTTTTTTATTTTTTTTTTTTTTCCATTCTCTTTGGATAAAACTCGATATTATATCTGTATGGAATGATGTAAACGTTCTCTTCTTTATGACATTCGGTGTGCCAAATGTCATCGAGTAGACATGAATGAATATTGTTGGCATATCAATGATATATATTTTCATTACCAATTACTGTATGTTTAAAATGGGGTTTCTATATTTATTTATAGTTTTTTAATTCAAATTACACAATTTGATTGTCGCATCATTCAAAATTATAAAATTTACTATTCAATTTTTCTTAACATAAGAAATATAATATAGATGACTCAATATTTTTGTTTTTCAACCATGAAAAATATCGTTCAATATTTTGAATATAACTTTTATTTATATCGAAAAGTTTATATTTAACATTTGGATTAGTTTTGGTTAAAGTAATCCCCACTTACCTTTCATTTTTCTCTCAAAATTGAATGCAAATTGAAATATTGAATAGAATTATTTTGAAAATTCACTTGAATCAAGATGACCAAAATAGAATCGTCGTTTACAGAAGACCTCCTTAATAAAGAAGAATCCCAAAAAATGGTCAAAGCTGTTTCAATTCTTCATCTTGTTTCCATATCTTTTTTTTATGTATGTGCAGGACCTTTTGGACAAGGAGAAGCAATTGCAGCTGGTGGAGCGAAATGGACATTTATCTTTACTTTTCTAGTTCCAATTGTATTTAGTGTACCGCTTGCCTTAATATCCAGTGAACAATCCTCGAGATTGCCAGCCTGTGGTGGTTGTGCTGAATGGGGTTTAATATTAGGTCAATTTGTAGGCGTTTTAAATGCGTATGTCCGATTTTTATGCTCAGTTTTTGATAATCCGATATATCCATGCATGATTGCAGATTATCTTGTCCATTTTATCCCCCAAATAGATAAACTTGGATACAGATTTCTCATATCCATTGTATCGAACGCCATTGTTCTTGCCATCAACATATCCGGATTAGAAACCGTCGGGTCAGTATCCTTTATCCTTGCCATCGTCATCATAGCTCCCTTTCTTCTCTTTTTTGCCTTTGGTGCCTCTGAGATGACTCCAGAAAAAGTTTTTGCGGACAAACCGAAAAAATATGGACCCGTTAATTGGTCGTTGATGGTTTCAACGCTTATTTGGCAGTACAGCGGTTTTGACACTGTTTCTGCCTTATCAGAAGAAACGAAAAATCCTAAACGAACATTTCCTATTGCTTTATTTATAACTATTGTCATTGTAATTCTAGTTTATATATTGCCGACTATTTCTGGACTTTCTGTTGAGCCTGACTTAGAAAAGTGGGCGAGTGGTGCATTTTCTGACATATCAAAGAAGCTTCCTCACTGTTCGAATGGATGGCTTGGCTACTGGATCAGTGTCGCTGGAATTTTGTCAGGCCTCTCAATGCTGAATATCGCAATCTCGTGCACCGGCCGAGAGACGTATGCTGGGGCACTTCTCGACGCCTTTCCTCTTTCGAATTACTTGAGTCGATTGCACAACAACGTGAAGAAGGAGCCATTGCCGATCATCTCGCTTGCTTTCATGTCCGTGATTACGATCCCTTTCACGTTGTTTGACTTCTCAATTCTGGTCGAATGGAGCGGTTTGTTAACCGTCATTCAGCAGCTAATTCAAGTGGCTGCTTACATCGCGCTGAGGTTCCCTTCAATGGTCCAGAAAATGAAGAAGAACCAGGAAATTCTGCGTGCTCGCGTTGAGGCGGTCGAGATATCAAACATCGATGATTCAGAGCACGAAGACGCCGAATCGAAAGACGTCATTAATGAAGATTTGTCTGACAAGTTCATCGTGCCAGGCGGCTGGCTCGGTGTCGCGGTCGTGTGCGTGCCGATTACGGCCATTTCGATCTTTCTATGCGTCGTCGCTGGCTGGATGTCGCTGGTGATTTCAGCTGCAATGGTGGCCGGAATGTTCTTGCTGAAGGCAATCGAGCGTGGAACAAAAATGTTGGTTTCTAAATGCGAGAGAAAAAATGTTAAAGAAGAGGCTGAAGCTTCTCCTTAGTAAATTATTTGAATAAAATAGTTTGTATTTGTTTTTATATTTAATTTTAGATGAATTAAAAAGAAAGAGAATTGGCTGTCATTGAATGCCTTCAAAGTATTTTTTTTTTTTTTTTTTTTTTTTTTTTTAGCATAAATATTACTAGTAAGTATTGCAATTCCAACTTTTGCATTGAACATGCTTCTTTTTCTCTATATCCATCATTTACAAGGTTGCCAATATTTATTATCTTCAATCTTTTGCTTATAGTTATTTTTTTGTTATTAATTCAATAATGTCAATTTCATCTTTTATGGACTCTCGAACGATTTAAAGCTCATATAAATGATTTCATGGAATGAATATTTCATATTAAATTCCAATATAAATGATAAAGGCGGCTTATGTTATTGAGTTGAATCTAACTATGCATAAGGTTGATTTCTAATTTGTAATCTTCATAAATTATTCATAAAACTTTTTTATAATTGCTTCGACTTTTTCTTTTATTTTAAAGTTCATTCTTTCTATACTGTATCTAAAGCAGCTGTATTCTATTAATACTGTATCAATCATTTCTAAACCTTTTCAAAATCGAATGACTGCATTTTGAGATAGATTCTGGATTTTAATAAAAAAAGTTTATTATCTTTAACTTTTTGAGAAATATATTCACAGAAGTATTTTGGCCAATAATCAATTCAATTTTTCATATATGAAAAATTGAAAGGATGATAATTTTTTTGTATACAAAAAATTTCATCCAAATAAAAGAAAAAAAATAGTTTTATTTATTGAAAAATTAAGCAATAAATAAAATTTCTTATTTATAAATTTAATAATTATTAATATATTTATAAATATATATTTTTAGTCTATAAAATTATTAAAAATAAAAAGATAAAGATACTTTACTTTTTAAACAAAAAAACTGTAAATAACTTGAAACGATATAATATCTGCTTATTTTAAACGAAAACATAAAAATCATTTATATATTAGACATATATTTAATGTCAACTGAAGTTAATCCAGAAGTTGAACGTATTGCCAAAAGAGCAGCTGAAGGAGATGTTGATGCTATGGTAGAATATGCAAGCATTCTTGAAAATGGAAAAGGTGTACCTGTTGATTTACCAATGGCAAGCTTATATTATAAAAATGCAGAGAATGATGGAAGCAATGAGGGAAGAGAAGGATACTTGAGAGTTCGTGACAAAATACGCAAGGTTGCTTGTGACAAGTGTTCAGAAATACGTAATAACGCTTCATCAAAATAAAGTTATATTCATTTTAATAAATTATCATCATTTAATTAATATATTCTACATTTTTTTTTAATGCTTACAAATATAATGTATTCTTTTTTCTTTATTTATTATTTGAGTATCAATGATAGAAAGGCTAAAAGTAGATCATATACCAAAAAATTTTCAAATTGAAGGGAAAAAAATCAAAAAATGCAATCGACGGGATTCGAACCCGCAACCCCCGGATTAAAAGTCCGATGCTCTGACCAACTGAGCTACGAAAGCTTTGCATTATATATCAAAATAAATTTCATATATTAATATCTTTTTCATTTCCGAAAAAAATCAAGAATATCATTGATCTTTAACTGTTGTAGATTAAATATATTCTCTAACAAATATTTCACCTTAAAAAAAAAAACGTTTCATTCAAAAAGTGGAATAATTATAAAAAATAAACAAAAAATTGTAAAAGCATCTGTTTATGATGTAATAATTAATATTTTTATTCATCTAATTTTGATTTGATGTGATTTGCAACATTTATGTTATAAAATTCGAAAGCCGTGGCAAATTTCAATAAAACTTCTTTTGGCAAAACCTCAGCAATCTTATCAAAAAGTGACATCAACATTTTGGTTGATGCCACTTTTGATAATTTCAAAACGAGGGTATAAACATTTCCATTGGCATTAAAAAGACTACTGTTGATTTTTATCATTTTCACAATTATATCTTCGTCATAGGAAAAAAGGACAGCGTCGATGATGTCCATCAAGTTGCTTTTAAGTATCTTATTTGTTGGTGACTCAATTTGGAGATCGAGAAGGAAATTTACCAAATCCAAATTATAGTTAAGGCATTCAATGAAAATATCGTGAATATTCTCAAAATTTTGACTTTTTGAGAATAGAAATTTAAACGTATCATTTGCCGATAACCTTATTGAATTTCTTAGGCATCGATAAAAGCAATCAGTTTGTTCAAAATCAGCAACTTTTTGTGAATACAAAAATTCAAATAATTTGAAATGAATCAAACTTGATGTTATCAAAAAGTTGCTGGTGTCTCTTTCTGATGAACAATCAACTTTTTGAAAAAGAAACACAATTTTCGGCATGCAAGATTTAAGGATTGTAATTATGAAATAATTGAGAGCTGCCGATAAGTCATCAAAAGTCAACAAATCATACAAATCATCATTTTTTCCTTCACTTTTTGAGAACTCATTCAATTTTTCTGAGACGAAAGAATTTTTTTCAATGTGAATATCTGCGAAATTCTCAAGATAATAATCTAACAAATCTAGCCTGTTCATAAACATTGCCTGGAGAATAACTTTGTCATGTGAAGTCTTATTCTCACACAAATGAATGATTTCGCTATTCCGCCCAAAAAATGCGTATTGGAGAAGATTTTCTGGAATTTGAATGTCATTTTGCATCCACAAAAATTTAAAGATTTTTAAGGACGAGTAAGTGGCAGCAACTTGTATAAGTGACAGATTCGAGTCTATCGTTTGGGCTCGCTCGTAATATGAAAAAGGAATCTGATAATTCACAGAAAAATTATTTTTTGACAAAAGTGACTGAAAAGTGTCAATGTCATCATCTCGAATACACTTATGAAGAGCTGATGGATGGTAGTATGTGGTACGATTAATAATGTGACGGTTAGGATCGGTTTTGACTAATTTATATAATTCTTGTAATTTTGACGAAGAAGTTCGAATATCTAGTCTGGACTCCCTTAGTTTGGCATATTCACCGTCATACTGTTCGATTTCTGGTTAAAATTTAATAAAAAAGAAATCATTAAAATATGAATGTTTGGTAATCGTTTCAATTGTAAAAAAACCGTGTGCAAAAAGATAATTGTGAGATGTTTGATAACAGTCTAATACATCTAATATTTCTGAATCAGTTACATTGTTACTGCGTATTTCAGCTGGAAAATTAAGTACAATATCTAGAATAATTTCAAATTTTTGAAAATTGAAAACTAAAGCGCGTTCAATAATATTAAGAAAGGATATAATTGAGGAATGATCTTTGAAAAATACATTTCGATTGTCATCTACTAATTGAATAATTTTTTGAAAAGAATCTTTTGTTAAATCAACTATTTGATCTTCAAATGTCTTTAATATTTCAAAATCTTCTTGGTTTTTTGAAAAGAATTCTTCCGAAGCTTCTTTGATATTAGATAAACCTTCATTTGCCATATTAGTTTTTATTTTTATAAATAGAATTCTATTTTTGTCATCACTCAAAAAGTGGAGTTTTCTAACTATATCAAGTAAAAAATCTTTTTCTATTTAATTTTATTTTGTTAGAAAAATCCACTTTTTGAGTGATGACAAAATAAGAATTCTATTTAAAAAGACAAAATTTTTTTCTCAAAAATTCGAGTATCCAAAATAGAGATGGTTAAAATTGAAGTTGAGCTCATTGAATTTTATAACTACTCATTCATTGACAGTCAACGATCAACAGTTGAGAGACTGTTAAGGTCAAATGAATGAAAATAAATGTGTGGGCACTCAAAAAAATTTTTGATTGGCTAAATATAGAATCTTTTTCTTGGAAATTTTATTAGTATTATAATAATATTTTATGTTTATTATATTTTTGAAATTAGTCTTTTTTTATATAATAAATTGTATTATGAATAATAAGAGTAAATAATGATTTATTTGCAAATATTTTAAGTAGTGATTTTTACATCAAATGAAGTTTTTTGAAGCAATGAATAAAATTAAATATTATCAAATCAAATATATATACAAGCATTTATTACCGAATATAAATTAGAATTAATAATTCGTCAATTCTTTCATAAAATTGTGAACTTTTTAAATTAAGATAAATTTTTTGAATCGTTTTTGTTATAATTGGTGTTGTAATTATATCTCACAAAATAATAATTTATTTGTAGAAAATTTTTGACTTGGGTTTAAAAACAAGAACAATAGAATTTTTTTTTATTTTTGAAAAGTATGCTGATCAATATGAGTTTTGATGGAAAATAGCTTTATACTTTTCATTCAAATTTTGACATATTTATCTATTCAATTTTGTCATTTTTGTTGAATACTCATAACAACACGAATTGCAACATAAATATCACCTAAACAAGTGCTTTTATATTACATCTTCTCCAGATGTACTCGAAAACATATCCTGACGAATCTTATGGGCTAATTCCGCATGATTTTTTTTTCTTAAAATTGAGTTCTCTCCACATACATTCTAAATACTGTGTATGGGAATGTTTGACTGACAAATGTGTACAATTTTTATCTAGTATACCATCTATCTGCTGATAAGATGCCTAAGTGCAGGGGTATATGATAGATCCATCTGTAATGTGACTTTTGGTCCCATCATTTAGTGAGGGTGCAGTTCAGTCAGGAGCAATTAGAACGAAGGCCTTATCTGTTTCTCTGTAAATACCTCCAACAATTCAAACTGCTTTCAGTAGATGTCCTCTCTTGTGTTTTCTAGGTGTAATCACAGTTTCATCGATTTCATCGTGCATGTTATGTTTTCCTACTTGTTAATGTAGCATTTCAATTACTTTTTCCTCAATTGAGTTCCTGAAAGCTGCAAAAAAGTTAGTAACAGTATTCTTATTGACATTGCATTCTGCACAAACATCAATCAAAGAATGATGTTTTACCCAACAAAAAACTACTCATAATACATTGGCTCCACCCTCTTTTAACCTCCTCTGGATCTCCAAAACAATCATTACTTTTTTATCGATATCTATCAAACGTATATAATGTAAACAAGTCCCCTAATGAAATAAAACTGATTCTTACCAATATATACATACACGTCTCTATACAATATGTAAACAAACCTTCTAATGAAATGAAATCATTTTTATATTCTATATGGATCCTTACCGAAAATACTAATAATTGATATCCATACCTTCCAGAAACTTCAAAAGAATGCTACTACTCTAGAGTCCTCAATATTGAAAAAGTTATGACAAGTTTAGACAAGTATCCGTATCCTATAGATATAGAAAAGATGAAAGGATATATAATATTTCAATTTAAAAATAAAAATAAAGGATATTGAAAAATGTGTAAACACCGTGAAAAAGTGTAAACTTTCGTTTTTTCTCTAAAAGTAAAAGGAATTGAATCATATTAATTTTTATATAGATATATAACATGAATACACACATGTTAAGTTGTTTAAATCAAGAAAAGAATAATATTTTATTTATCATATTTAATATAGATAATCTGTCTTTTATTGGTACGCAAATTTTCATACTATTCAAATTTGAATGATTTTTTCAAATATTGAATTGATTATTTTATAAATTCAATGAAATTAAATAGTACGAAAATTTGCGTACCAGTTTATTCTTGAAAATCACTTTATATTTAATTTTTATTATATTTTTATACTCGTAATTATACAGGCTGCGCATTTCAAATCGGCCCTTTTACGGTTTCAAATCGGCCCTTTTTTCTTGTGAAATATTTCAATTGCCATTTGGTCCTAAAAAGTTAACTGATGATATGATCCGTTGGACAGATATCTTAGAATATTTGAAAGGGGAAAATCTTATTTTTGTTTTGATATATCTTTTTTGAAAATCAAAATTTTATATTTTTTTCGTATTTTTTACCATTGATTAACACCATAATTTATAAAAAATTATAAAAGAAAAGTTTAAAAAAAAAATTGATTTTTATGATATAAAGTATACTTTTTAGCGATAATGTCTACTTTTTCATAAAAAAAGAACTTTTTCACTTAAACAAATGAATCTATATATCTTAAAAATAAACAGAGGCATGTCAACCAAAATTCTACTCGATAAATTTTTTTGAAAATGATAATATAAGATTTAAATGATGTATATTAAAACTTTTCCTCTTGAGCAAACGAAAACTTCTATAAAGTTTTTAGTTTTCATTCAAATCATCATTTTTAACTCAATATATTCAATTCAAAAAGTAGATATATTCAAATTTGATATATTGAAAAATGAATTCTCTTTCATTTTTGATAAGATCATGATTGAATACCATTTCAATTTGAGAGAATTTTATTGAATAGCTTTTCAATTTGAGAGAAGGTTAATTGAATATTCTTTCAATTTGAGAAGAATAAATAAGTTTTATTTATAACTTGGAAATTGAATTATCAAAAATTTATTTTATGATATAAATATACTTAGATATTAATTATGAATTTATAAAAGTAATTATATTTGTATGTCACAAAAAATTTGAAATAAATATTATAAAATATTTTAT